TGCTCAACCGTAAACCATTTCACATCTACTGCCCGATTCGTACATGGAGTTAATACTATATGCTGCTGTGAGGTTTGCTTAGAGTAGAGCTGCTTGATTTTCTCTTCCTTTCGCTTCATCCTTATTCATTGGCAGTTGGTGCCAGTGAAGTACCGTTGCTATGGTTGACCTACCCATCCTTATTCTGCAATGTTCATGAATCATCAGGCTCTTGAAGGTAGAAACATGGGACAGCTAGTAGGAGTACGTTTTCCGCTGTCGTATGGTGCTTTTCATCTGGAAGGAAGACAGGTGACTATCATGAGGATTTTGTCTCGATAGATACATGCAAACCTACTAATACGTACGTACAAGGACATGACGGCCTCTTCCTGGCCGCGCATTTCTTCAGAGCTTGCTGTCAGCATTTGACATAATTACTTGCCCCCAGATGATTATTCGTGGCACGTGTCATGATGGCAGACATACAACGCGTGATTAAAGTCGTAGCCGGCAGCAGTGTCGTAGTACTGTCGTGCACGCAGTGAACCCAAGGAAATCTCTCCAGCCGGCCAGGATGCTGTCCGGTACAAGCTTCCGTACACATGCCGTAGCAAAGTCCAGGTGCTGCGTTACAGCGTTTAGCCGTTAGCTGAGCTGACTACCTGAGCCTGCATACTCCTCCGTATTTCCCTATCCCATGCAGGTCGTCAGGGGAATCATGGCCTATCATGTTGCAGTGGGAACCGAACGCCGCCACACGTGGCGCGAAGGAAAAGGAAAATTCACGTCACTGCCTTCAGTTTAACGACAAGAACATTGGAACGGGACGTTCTGGTCTGGTCTGGTTCGCACCCCCGCGTTCGTAGGAGTATAGAGTATATCATGTGGCGATGTTGTAAGCACGTCGCCCTTGCTGTGGTTTCTAATTAATTATAGTAAATGCTGGATGCTTTCGTGCGTGTGCGTCCAGAGATGATGGAATGATTCCGAATGGAGCCTTGGGCCGGCGGCGTGTGATGTCGGATGGAATGATGATGCTTGGGCACGCGGTTAAGCGAAGCGTGGCAGCGTTAAACGGAGTCAAGCTCAAGCACCTGACCGACATGTCCGGTTCAGACTTCAGACCTGTTCCCACGTTGGTTTCCGCTGCGGATCTAGCCCGGACCCGGACCCGGACCCCGGAGTCCCGAACGCTCCAGTGAAAAAACAACCAAGTGGGCTCTGGCGTGCGCCGTGCCGGCTGATGAACTTGGCAACATGCTGCATCCCAAATTGCCAAGGACGCGACGCCGGCAGCGGGCCCGATCCAGGAACTTGCCGAGCGTGCCAAGCGGCCAAGCCGCCGGAGGTCAGGAGGCGAGGAGTTGGGCCGGCAGCCGCGGGCCGCAAAGCCTACCTAAGTGGGCTGGGTTTACGCGGAAGAATCGGCGGACCGACCTGCAAAGCTTTTGTGTGGGAGGCCGCGGCCCGCGAGCAGAGGCCAGTTTTCTGTTTCTGTCCGTGTTTTTGGATTATCGGATGTCTCCGGAGTCCGAACAAACCTGTTTCTCTCCATTTTCAAAGACAAAATTGACACAGTACATGGTAGCATATCATATAATCAATCTACAATCCAATTAAATAAAAAACGGATACAGTATCAGCATACAGTACTCTTTATTTCAAAAAAAAAAGCAACAACATATACAATTAAATTTTAATGCACATACAACATCGAAACTGAGACAATTAATGAAAACATATATAATAACGTACTACTGCACAGTCAATCTGAGGCTGGAACAATGCGAGAAGAAAGCAAAGCAACCACTGGCGTTTCAACCCTGAAACCCCCTCAAGTTACGGCGGGATAGCAGACCCCTGGACTTGGGTGCCCCTGTCCCGGTGATACGGCTGCCGGACAGGAAGTCCAGCTTCTGGGCGCTCTGCAGGTTCGGCCCGGCCGCCGGGTGCGGCATGATTGCCCCGCCGCTGAGCGGCCCAGCCTGCCACACCGTGTTCTGCACCGTGCGGTTCCCCGGCAGCGCCACAGTCACGTAGATGGTGTACACGCCGCCGGAGAGCGGCGGCCGGCCCGACGGGCACGGCGATCTTAAGGGTGTTGTTGGTCAAGCTGGGATTCGTGCTCTCCAGGTAGGTCATCAAGACGGACACCGCGCCGTTACCGTCCTGGGAGGCGATGAACACGCTGCTGCCGGCCATGCTGCCCGCGCTCTGGGTGTTGAGGCCCCACGCGACCCAGCCGCTGGGGTCCCACGGCGCGCGGAACGCCACGTCGGCGGTGCCGTTCGCCGCGTGGTACGTCCAGTACAGGCTGGCACCGAGCACGGGGAGGGAGGTGCACCGCTGGAACGAACGCCCCGCGGAGAACTTGGCGGACGAGCAGTTCTGCTGCTGCTGCTGCTGCGCCGTGGCGGTGGACGACGCGAAGAGCAGCAGCACGGCCGCGAGGAGGAGCAGTGCCGACTGGTCCCGTGCTGCCATCGGAAGTAGTAGAACGCTGAACACGTACGTTCTTGATGTGCTCTTTCTTGCCTCTTGTGCTGCGTTGGTCGCTAGCTCACGGGCGAGGCGCGAATGATTGCAGATTTGCAGTAGCGAGGTGTGGTCGGAGGCTGTGCGAGAGCGGATGGGAAAGGGAGGCGTGCTATATATATAATAAGTTCGTGATGGAATGGGGCGACGTTGTTTGGGCATTTGGCTAACTACGTCGACACTGTCAATCTTTCCCAGTTGCAAAAATATACTAAGTCAGACCATGCGCCGGCCTGTAAACTCCTCATGCTCTTGTATATACGTCGAGTATTTTATTTATCTCAATCGCCGTGCACGTATCGTATTTCGAATCGCCATATGGTGATGAATAGTTGAATAGCTCTCCTCGGATCCGTGTGTGACTTGCTCCTGACAATGTCTGCTGCCTTGTTATCCTATTAAGAGAAAAGAACATACACAGTAGGATTTTACGATGATCTAACAACTTAGTTTATAATAAAACCAATAATTACCATATTAATTGAAAATGTTAGATGTTATATATGGTCATCTAACTATTTACGATAAACCAGAGGTAAGTGCCTAATATAACTTAATATAAATAGTAATTCTGAAACAGTAAATTAAGTAAAATACATTAATAGGATTTTCATCATACTCGTTGGAAAAGAAATTATGATAGAGAGTTATGTAAAACTCAATTAGTAAAGGCAAGACTTAAATGAAAACAATGAAAAATAATATAGAAAGAAAAATATTTAAAAGCCGTCCATATAAATTATAATTATTAATAAATAGCTAAATAAAAATGATAAGAACAGTACTACGATTTTCATATATTGCGAAAACAACTAAATAAAAAAGTTAGTCTAAAAACAAACTTCACTTTTACTCTCATGAACTAACAATTACCACATTAATGATACAAATCTAGACTGTAACCAAGGGCGATGTCAGGGTCCTTATCGACCTGACGAAATTTGTAAGTCATTTAGTAAAATATTGTTGGAACTCAATAAAATATATATCATGTATGACTTCCATGATGTTCTCGACTAGATATGCCCCTAATTGCAACGGTCTAGATCTACCAACATATATGGAAAAATAATAAAGAAACCAAGTATGGAGAGAGATAATAGTTTAGAATTCAATTAGTGTGATACCTGGATTTTTTTCGTGGTTATAGAAAACAGGTGTAACGTCCCACCTCTCCGAGGCTGGGCCCGCTTATATCTGGCAGCTTAATTAGGACATAGACTGCCCTCACAGACCAACACTATTCTTTTCTGCGCACTTTGTCCTCACTCATGCGCCCCCGGGAAGAACTTCCCGGTCGGTCACCCATCGTTCCAGGCCAAGCACGCTTAACCTTATAGTTCTTAAGAGATGTGCTTTCATAAAAGAAGTTGCAACTTGTTGGTACGAGTATCCTATTAATCCTATTAAGCCCTGAGCCCGGGTGTTACATCCTCACCCCCTTAAGAGATCGATGTCCTCGTCGATCAATCCCAAGCCAGGAACGTCCCCTCTTAGCCACGTCCGTGTGTCTAGTGCCAGCGCATGTGCCATGCTGTGTGACCACGCCGGATCCACACCAGCCATGCGCACCATGCCTGCGCAACTACGACACACACGCCCGTGAAACCGTGAGAGTCGGCTCTGATACCATTCTGTAACGTCCCACCTCTCCGAGGCTGGGCCCGCTTACATCTGACAGCTTAACTAGGACATAGACTGCCCTCACAGACCAACACTTGTCTTTTCTGCGCACTTTGTCCTCACTCATGCGGCCCCGGGAAGACTTCTCGGTCGGTCACCCATCGCTCCAGGCCAATCACGCTTAACCTTAGAGTTCTTAAGAGATGGGCTTTCAGAAAAGAAGTTGCAACTTGTTAGTACGAGTATCCTATTAATCCTATTAAGCCCTGAGGCCGGGTGTTACAACAGGGAAATGAACGGATTATATGCATGCACAAGAGATATCCAAGGCTTAAGCCGATGCCTTGGCACAGATAAACACATCATTGAAGCACTTTTGGTCACTATGATCACGCCTCGCCATATCATCCTGCCCTTTTGTCATAACTTTGCTCGTCGAGTTGCTCTTTTCTCGAATTCCTAGTCAAAAAGTTTTGGTATCACCATCGATGTCGACGAAGGGGAAACAACCAAACATTTCGTGACAAACTTGGTTAAACTTTAAATAAATAACATTGTTTTCTATAAGCTTATTAGTTAACCTTTCGATAATTTGATTTAGGACAATAACTCAAAATTCCTTATATTTTAAGATGGAAGGAGTACTACTTTAAGAAGTTAATAGCAACAAGAGAAGTATAAACACGATGTAATGTGATGGTTGAAAATGTAAATGCATCCATAAAACACATTTATAATTAGCATTTGATGTCCATTATGTACAGCCAATTTCAAACAGAGACAATGTAATAAAGTGTAAACAACCACTGGAGACATTATTTGACGTGGAATTTCAAATTTAGCGGACGGCTCTAAGATCTTCACGGTCGCATGTGATAGCCTTTCATCACCGGCGGGCTTCTCTTTAATCCCCAAAAACTCCTCAAGTTACGACGGTGCACCTCGAAGCTGGGTGCCCCTGTGCTTGTGCCGCCACCGCCGGACAAGAAGTCCAGCACCATGGTGCTCTGCATATTTGGCCCGGACATCGGGTGCGGCGCTATTTGCCCACCGCTGAGCGCGCCCGCCTGCCACACCGTGTTCTGCTGTGTGGAGTTCCCCGGGAGAGCCACCGTCACGTAGATGGTGTACGCGCCGGCCGTGTACTCGGCGACGGGCGCGACGGGCACGTCGAGCTTGAGGGTCCCGTTGGTCAGGGTGGGGGACGTGGTCTCCAGGTAGGTCATCAGGACGGACACCGCGCCGCCGTTGCCGTCCAGCGAGGCGATGAACACGCTGCTGCCGGCCATGCTGCTGGGGCGCTCGGTGTTGATGCCCCAGGCGACCCAGCCGCTGGAGCTCTGCGGCGCCCGGAACGCAAGGTCGGCGGTGCCGTTCGTCGGGTGGTACGTCCAGTACAGGCTGGCGCCAAGCACGGGCAGGTCGGTGCACCGCTGGAACGACTGTCCAGGCTGGAAGTTGGCGGGCGCGCAGCCCTGTGCTGCGGCGGCGGCGGCGGCCGCTGCCGCAAACAGCAGCATCACCATTGCCCCGAAGAGGAACCACGCGGGATCGTTCCGTCGAGCCATCGAAAGCAGGATACGTGTGCCGTGGGCGCCTGCGCTCTTGTGCTTGCCTGTGCGCTCCCACTCCAGCGGCGAATGCAGATGCAGTTGTGAGGTTGTTGGAAACTCGGAGCTCGTCCGACTGGTGATGCTTGCGAGAGCGGCAGGGAAGAGAGGTCTGCTATATACACTGGCCAGTACCCACCATGATCAGTAGTCAGTATATGCTATTTCTTCAGGTTAACGATATATGTATCGGATCCACCGTCCGCCGAGTCTTATCATCCAAAGCACGGTGATGACTTGGTATCTGCCAGCGTGTCCGCGTCTTCTGAGGAACCTCCCATATTTGACGGTTTATCAACTCTACAAACTGTTCGCTCGTTGGTTTCAGCCAGACTTATTCAATCAGTCAACAGTGTTTTTCTCTTAAAAAAACCAGCACCAGCCAGCCCAAACCAGCACCAGCACCAACCAGCGAACAGGGTGCTAGTGTCATCACATTGCTCGCAACGCCGGCTGATTCTCGAGATATTATTTTAGAAGCACAAGACAGCCTTGGGAGTAAAGTTGAAAACGGACCGAAACGAACAGAAAATGGCTCTATCGTTTTCGTTTTCATAGTTTTAGACGGAAACGGGAGCGGGAGCCGGACAGCCGGGAATGAAAACGGTAGCGGGATAAACGGAAATACAAAAATGGATAAATACGATCGAAAAATAGACGAAAACGAACGGTAAGCGAAAACCTAAGCCGGAACATGTATGCCGCATGTGATAGCTCAAATACAGAGACCAAAGTGTAATACCAAATATCAAATATGCACTGACCATACATAAATATTAGTACAATACCAAATATCCATATATCACATGAGACAAGAGACATGACACATCACGTGCTCACAAGTCACAAGTCACAAACAGCATGTGTTCAGCACAAATAGGCAAACAGTAATACGCATGTGTTCACAAATAGAAATTACAGTAGTCCACCAGCACCAATATAATATGTTTATTTGATGGTTCACCAACAGCAGAGAGCACACACAGCACCACGGCACATCAGTTTTTCATAGCTCACCATCTTCATTCATTGCATCTAGAGCACTTTGCCCTTCTCCCTATAATTTTCAGCACATATATTCATGATTAATTGGAAATGTAAGTCTATGTTATTGTCTTTAGCTATTACAGAACTGAAACGACCTGATTTCCGCGAAGGAAAATTCACAGAGTCGAAGTGTAATAAGACCGTTGTAGATCATATTACCTAAATTTCAGTCGAATATCACATCCATACAACGTAATATCAGAGTACAAATAGTGCGGAATTACATAAATTATTACATCGCTGCATTGGCGGAATCAAAAGTAGCATTCATTAAGAACCGCTTCAAGATAAGATCGCCAAACTCGAGCGTAGGAACGAACCCCTCAACCGTCAAACTCCTCAGAGCTATACTCCTCAGCAGAACCTGTATGCCAAAGTTTATCAATACGATTTGTACTGGCCACTCCCACCCTATGAGCATTGCTTTGTGGAAATTGGATGCAAGTTGGATATAATCAAAAAAGAACCTATAAGGCTGGGGTTTCCTATATATTAGCATATCAAGTATATAATAATAGTTGGTCAAGTTTTAACACCATTCCCACACCTATTCCAACCCATTTCTGTCTAGAGCCAGGTTTTGATTCTGGGATCGATATTCCACCATCTCCACACTATCATCACATCACCACCATACCATCGCTCAGTCGACAGGCCAACTCCCTCTTGGCACTGTCTCATGGCCCGTAGCCCCTGGCTACGACCGAACACTCACTCACAGGGGGAAGAAGAGAAGGATTCATCTCACTATCTAGTTTAAGCGAAACCCAGGAAAGGTCCATAGCCGACAAGTCGGCATATGTATCGATCGATCAACCGTACACTATGCAGAGGTTTTACATAACCACAAGATCCGCCTTCCTCGCTGACCGTCGTCAACTGGGTTGATTCCAGCCGCTTGCTAGCCTAGGATAATGCCACCCTACCATTCAGCCCTGGTACACCCCAAGTCTAGTCTGGGGTGGCTGAAACTGTGAGTCATGAGCCGAGTCCACAAGGTCTCCATGAAGTCTCGAAAGGGTGTGGGGGAATCCTCTGCGCCCCGTACCTCTCTCGCACTGTTCGCTATCAACCTAGCAGTAGTGGCAATATCCTACCAAGTAGTCCGGCCGTCCCGCACCATATAGGGTGAGTGGTACGTAAGGCTTCCCGATGAATCTGAGTACTAGTAAGTCCTTAGGGATGACCAAGCCAGAATGTCTTTATTAGGGTTTCCATTTACCATGCCACCACAGCACCTCCACCCTGGGCTCCTCCCATCACAAGTTCACACCTAGGGCCACCTTATATACCATTTACCCACCACAGGTATCCACTTCCGGGGGTGCCCAGGTAGCACCCCGCGGCAAGACTTGCCCCAGGCTCGTTGTATATTCTAACTTGGTCGACACAACCCTCACCCTCCATGCACCCAAGTCACACACGCAGCACTCTCTCCATAGTCCAGATAACACCAATTTCCATCACGCATCAATGTAGTACAAGCGTAGTAGAAGTGACAAGCAATGAAATATAGCAGTAAGCGTGTGTCTAGCCTAATAGCAGGGTAAGCAGGGGTAAGGTTGCGTCAAGGTATAGGCCATCAGTAAGCATACTACCATGCAAGTCCTATCATAGTGTGAATATAACAATAAGGTAAAGCAATAGCATTTCTATATTAGCCATGCGTAATAGGTGCTACGAGGTTGGGTGGGATGTGGCACCTTCAGTAAAGTCGTCCCCGCACTCCTCACGGTACTCATGATCCTCGTCCGTCTGGTTCTCCTCCGAGTCTGCATACGATCGAATTATAGTCGCGTTAGCGACGTCTATAGAATAGCACAAAGAAGCAATGAAAATTCAAAAGAGCTAAATGCACTCAAACATGGGTTCATTGCGTAGAGCTCGATTTAAGATGAATTTTGGTCCTGGTTTTATATTTTTCTGAGGTTGTATGAATTAGTTATGAATTTCCGAAGATTAAATCCATTTCTGAAAATATTAAAGGCTGATTAATTCAGGGCTGACATGTGTCACACTGTGACGGGTTCACGTGGCATGTAGGGACTTGGAGTGGTGTATCAGCTGCTTGGCGGGGCACGTGAGCTTCCCGTGGCTCCAGTGAACAGGGCGGGCGAGGCAAGGAGGCGCTAGGCGCTCCCAGCGGTCCTGGCCACGGTGGAGTCGAAGCGGTTGTGGCGGCGCTGCGGCCACGGCGCGGTGTGGTCAACGGGGGTCCTCCGGTGGCCTTCGTCTACCTCGATCGCGAGCGTGGCGTGTTCCACGGCGAGGAGGAGCCAGCCAAGGTGGTGGCGTCACCTCTACCACGGTGATGCGGCCGTGGTGGTCTCGCCTTGGCTGTGTTCGTGGCTACGGTGTGCGCGCCCATGTGTGCTCGCGTGCGTGCTCGTGTGCATGCTCGGCGTCCATGGGGCTAGGAGGAGGTCTCTGCCAAGGTGCTCACCGCGGTGTGCTTGGCGGTGCGGAGTGGCGGTGTGGTGATGACGGTGCGGCCGTGTAGCGGTGCGTGGTGCTGCGCCGGCTCACGGAAGAAGACGGTGGCGCCTTCCTCTACTCCGGCGGCAGCATCCTTCTCCGCGCCTCTCCTTCTCCTCTCGTCCCTCGGCTTAGTGTGCTGGTGCGAACCGCACGGCGGCGGCGAGGTAAATGGAGGGCTAGGGCTCGGGGTCCTCCTTTTATAGGTCGAGCTCCATGCCTATCCATGGCGGATGGCGGAACGGCTGGTGATGCGATGAGCGCATCGGGCGGCTCTCATGTGCGGGGGTGGTTGTGTGGGCGCGGCGCTAAGGTGGGGGACAGGGTCATGCGATGTGCGTGACCCCAGGCCCACGCCTGCTCCGCAGTCGGCTCCCGGTCACGTGGTGGAGGGAGCGTGGGGAAGACAACGATGTTGTAGCTGGGCGGCTGACAGAGGGGGCCCATTTGTCAGCTTGTCCTGATGCGGCGGCGTGCGGTGCGTGACGGCTGACGGGTGGGTCCGGCTCGTCAGTGGCTTGTGCGCGTGTGGGCGGTAGAGTGTTGCTGGGCCGACTTCGTGGGCCACGTGCGCGAGTGGGAGGGCAGGCGGGCTCGGCTGGGCTGGCTCGCAAGGCCGAGCAGGCCTGGGCTGCTGCGGCTCCCTCCTTTTCCTTTTCTTTTTCTGTTTGTTTCTCTTTTCTTTCTTTTGCTTCGATTCAAATTTAGTTAGAGTTTAAACTTGAGCTTCGAGTCATGTAGTGGGTCCAACATGGTGTTTCAAATGGTGGTCAAAATACATCCCATATATTCGGGATTATTGGCTATTTTTGTTATACAAAAATAGTTGAAGTTTTTATATAGGGGTGTTTTATTCTTCCAACAAATAATTCATTATTTAGGGTTTATCTTAAATATTAAGTAAGTTAGTTAAACATCATATAAGGCAAAAGAATCCAAATCACAAGTGGAATTAAGGATGCATGCATGGTTTATTTATTTAGAAATTTAATTACACATGTGGCATAAAACCAAACTATGCTTTTGATTTTAACCAAGTTGGGTCACATCTAATCCAAAACTAGGGTTTGGCTTCTACATGTGTCACTCAACATCACATAGGGTTTAAACAAAAAATTTGTAGTTGTGATTTTTGGTATGTGGATTTTTAGGTTGTTACAGTCCTACCCCCTTAACAGAATCTCGTCCCCGAGATTAAAGCGTAACGTACCATTCGAAGAGATAAGGATATTGTAGCCAGAAGTCAGACTCTTTCTCCCATGTTGCTTCTCTCTCAATGTCATTGCTTCATTGGACCTTGCACATAGGAATAGTTTTGCTTCGGGTCTCTTTGGTATCTCTACCCAGAATTCGGATAGGATGTTCTTTATACTCAAGAGTGTTCTGAATGTCAAGTGTATCAGTCGGAATTACTTCATCGGGCACTCTCAAACACT